AAAACAATGTAATACCTATATAGTCCTGCTAATATTAAAAAGTAACAATTCTCCCACATAAAGCTGTGAAGTTACTTTTTTAGACAAAAATATTTATGACTTTGGCTCTATCCACTGTTGGCCCCAATACAGAGTGTTTCAAATATGAACAACAAATATTATTTAGGTACTGGCATTTTGTTTATTCATAATTTATTTATTTTGAGATCATGCCAGATGCAGCACTTAATGTTGGATTGTTGCTTTAAATTCCCCATCGCTTTCATGCCCGCATCTTTGTATCTGGCTACGAACCAAGAAGAATCCAAGAACCAAGAAGTAATTTAATTAAGACTGCATTACGTTGAGGAAACAAAATGCTGCTTTTTGCATTTGAAGCTCCTTCTATAAACAGCTCTAGAATAAACATTCAAAGAGGACAACTGACTGCGAGGACCCCCGCAGTCGATCCTGTCCGCTTGTTTGCAGAATTTATTGCACAGCGAAGTAGTGGTTTTACAACATTGTGTCTGTGGTGACAGGACAGCTTGGCTCCAGTGCAAGAGAGAGGGAGAGCGTGAGATGAGTTCCAGCTGGCACAGGGGCCGAAAACAAATGTCATTGCTTGTGCTCATGAAGTCCCCCATTCATAACCACAGCTAAGGTAATGAAGCCAGACTATACAAGACAATGTCTTACAGGAGTGCTACAACTCCTGGGAGGTTATTGACAGAGACTCCATTGATGGAGTGTGCTGGCTGCTGCTACTCAGAGCCTCAGGTGTGTGGGGCGGTACGGCTGACACGGAGCCCTTGGGAATGAAAATGGATTGTGGTGGGTCGGTGTCGCTCTGACAGAACGGCTATTAAACTGCAGGAGACAGTAATTCCAAACAAAAGGATTTTTCAGAGGGAAAAGAGCCATAGAGGAATAGAGGATGTATTCATAGAGGAACTTCAAGGGCAGAAGCCGCTCACTCGCCTATATGAAACGAGAACAGACACGCACACATATACTGTTGTACCGCACACTCTCAGCCTTTCTTTTTTGATGGCTCACCTCTGTCACAGCAAAAACCCTCTTCCCACAGGGAACCACTTTATACCACTTGTCGTGCAGCATGTCCATGTAACCGTCAGACTTGTAGCGGCTGACGTATTCAGACACATTTCGGGTGAGAGGAGAGTTCTGGGGTAGCCCGATCCCGTAACCTGAGAGGATAAAGAATTGCAAAACAACAATTTACACTCACAGCTCTGCACAGCTTCACAGGATTTTGTTAAAGAGACAACATTCACATTCTAGAGTGAACTGATACCTCTATTAATCATTGTTAGAGAGGCTTGGGAAGGAACAATCATGATATTTTAGTCATCACATGAAAATAAGTGCACTACTTTATTTAAAGCATATCAGAAGATTATAAAACAATGGACTTTTTATGTAAAACTTTAAATTAAGTGTACAATTACTAAGTGTACTAAAGGGTGAAACAGTCATGAAAGTGTACTTTAAGTATAAGCTTACTGTAATGTAATTAATATGAGATCTTTAATACATAGAGCAGCTAAATCTTGAACCCCAGGGGATTTTTTTGTCTGCTGGCAAAAAGAGAATGCGACAAAGCTCATAAAAAAAAAAAAACGAGAATCAAAATTGGCTTGGCTTTTCGGAGAAGGCGAGAACTGGGGGATTTGAACTGTTGTAAAAGTGATGCAGAGATGCCGTTTATTATATAGGTGAGTAAGGTATTTTATTGAACAGATAAATTGCCATATGCAGCTCTCTAAACGAGTTCATTGTAAAACATTCATTATGGTTGTTGTAATTTATTATTTAAGAATGTACTGTATTCATTAATGGGTATAGGTACAGTGATATTTTCAACCAGTCATCTTAAGATCCTTTCTATCTAAACTGGTCATATCTCTTAAGCCCAGTAGTGAATGTTTTCTGAGCAGTAGGATAACCATATTCATCCACAGTCACGTGAAGCCGAAGCACAGCCAAAACAATGTTCTTCCGCCAATGCGTTTTTTTTTTTTAAAGAGTAACTAAACCCTAAACCAACTTTTTTTAGTTAATGATCTGTAAGAATGGATCTTTATTAATACCAGTCATTGATTTGAGTAATTTTTTTTGACATTTGTGTATAAAGTGTTTTATTTCTACAATATATGGTGTAAAAATGTCTTAGTGCTGCCCTCTTCAGGTTGAACAATGGTTACTGCAGTTGAATTTTCCTATTGGATGTTTGAGCAGATTTCAGCTCACCACGCTTTTGGTACGAGCTACGCCCTGGGCAGTATGAAAAAACCAGCTTGTTTCGTCAAAACTAGTCAGGAGTTGGAATTGCAAGTATCGAAAACGTGTGTTTTAGCATCTATTTCGTTCCCTCTATCTCTGCTGGGGTCTGCACACTTTTTCAGCATTTTTCAAATATTGCCAGTGGGTGGAGTCAGGCTCTGACCAGGGGTTTAGTTACCTTTTAACTGCTAGAATGTCAAAGGTTACATTGTGTACCTTTAAGTGCAATAATTATTTACAAGGCGATGCATAATGCATTAAATAACATTAATAAAGTGAACCTTATTGTAAAACATTAACTTAAATCCTGTTAATATTAAAAAAGTAACAAATCTCCCACATAAAGCTTTTAAGGTACTCTTTAGACAAAGTTTTTGATAATCTAGACGAATAAATCATTTTACAGATACAGCACAGCCAGTCAAATGATCTTTGTGGGGTTTTGTTAAAGAGACCATCCACATTCTAATGTGAAATAATACCTCTATTATAGAGAGCCTTGAGAAGGTACAATCATGAATCTTTGGCACCCCGTGCCAATGTACCGTCTGTCATTGTGACGTCTCTGTAGCCAGGCAGCCAGAGAGATATTAGCGCAACTCTGACATCCACAAATTTCATCTAAGCCCTCGCCTAAACCCACAGATCACCCCCCCCCCCTGCCATCTCCTTTCAGCACGTGGCACAACATCACTTGAATTCTGATAAACGTCTGTTCTCTTCTACTGAGTTCCACTGCTGTGTTTTGTTACTCAGCCCTCTACAACCAATAAATGTGTGCTGCTGAACTCTTTTAAGAGGGGGCACCGGCGGGCTGCTGGAATATTCTTAATGGAGTGGATCCAGGCAGTCATAAAGTGTGCAGTGCAAACTAATACAATAAGGGATTTTCCAGCAGTGTTAAAAGGACATGGTCCACTCTGAAGAGACAGTTCTACTGAAAGGTGTTCATTCAATTTGAGCAATGCCTGTGTATTGGACTGATGCCGGGGGATCTCGAAAGTACCATAATTTAGTACCAAATAATGTAAAAAATGGGAAAACAAATGAAATAAAAACTATATGAAAATGAAAAAAAAAAATTAAATATAATTATATACAGACAGAGACAGACAGACAGACAGACAAGACAATTAAATGCTTGATTTAAATTTGAATTTAGATGTTAAAATAAAAAAATTACAAATTGCATGTAATTATATCTGTCTTATCTTTTTATCCATTTATACAATTTATATTCATATAAAGACGATCGGATGGATGGATAGATAGATAGATAGAGATGGTGGAATTTCACAATACTGCAGCAAAAACTAATTTGCTATTGAACACTCCTTTATTGTGACAACATTAGATACCTGACTCCAGTCTTTTGCCTACATGGTTTGATTATGCACCACACACTGTTTACAGAACCTGACGTAGTTGTCCATTTCGGGTCAGTAGACGCGATTGTGGCGAGCAGGACGAGGCAGAGGGATGTGAGAGGCTGCTGGCTTGAGTGATAACGAACGACACCTGTGAGACGCACCAATCTCGCATCTCTCACGTCCCTCGGCCTCGTCCTGCTCGCCACAGTGATTGTGATGGTATAGTCTTGATCATCCATCTAATAAAAAGCTGACTTAAAGCTTTTGGCAAATAGCTGGGAAAATTCCTATACATGCAGCAGGAGATAACATCTGGATGAGAGGTGCGGACATGCCTGGGTGACTGCCATGAAACCCATCTACACCCTGTAATAGCTTTCGCTTATGAAATGACATGTGTCTAACTTGACTTGGCTTCAATTTGGAGGGTAATTACAAAAGCTTTGAGGTGAATTCATGGACATGTCTAAATGTGGGGTGGAATTCTAATGTATCTGTAGAAAGTGTTAGAAACACCTTGTGCCTTTTTAAAGAAGAACTTCACAGGCTTTTGTGTAGCAAGTTAATATAATTCAATGTGACATGGCCAAAGGTGCTAACCTTTTCAGGGACGGTAATTTGCTCAGTGGTACAAGAGTCCTTACCTTCAATAGCAAATGGCTTTCCTACAGTCAGGAGTTTGCAGTCTGCATCTATTGACACCTCGTAGTCCAGCAAAGCCTTATCCATGATGAAGGCATCTAGCTGAGGGGGATCTGTCCTTCAACATACAGAGGAGGATAGTCAGAGCCAAACAAAACACACCGCCAGCCAAACTTATGCTAATTTATTGCTGTTGACTTTAAATGACTTTAAAACAAGCCAGAACCAAACCATGTAGCTGTAAACTGCTTAAATCCTCAGGATTTAGTTCGATTTACAGAATATTGTGTGTGTAACATCTTTTTTTCAAACTATTTTTGAGTATTGAAAAAGACTTTATCCACAAAGTGGGACTTTGCACACTGCCTAACAAAGCCAATTACAAAAACCCAGCATGGATTACATCAACCTAAAATGAAAATATATATACATAAATTTCACAATCTGTCTCATAATACTGTACGTCTATAGCTATACCCTTGTGAAAAAGAAGTGTGCTTAATTGTATTGAAAGTGTACTTTTTGTGTGCTTAAACTCATGAAAGTATACTTTTTGAAAAGTGTACTCGCAGATAATATAATATAATTACAATTAAAGACCACTTAAGTTTAACTTAAAGTAAGTACACTTTCATCACATTATTTATAAACACACTTAAGTGCACTTTTAAAAATGCACTTTGTAATAATATGTAATTAAGTTTAACTTAAAGTAAGTACACTTTCATGACAATATTTATAAAAGTGTACTTTTAAAAAATGCACTTTGTAATAATATGTAATTAAGTTTTACTTAAAGTAAGTACACTTTCATGACAATATTTATAAACACACTTAAGTGTACTTTTTAAAAATGCACTTTGTAATAATGTCTAATTAAGTTTTACTTATAGAAAGTACACTTTCGTGATCATATTTATAAACACACTTAAGTGTACTTTTTACAAATGCACTTTGTAATAATATCTAATTAAATTTAACTTAAATTAAGTACACTTTCTTCACAATATTTCTAAATACACCTAAGTGCATGTTTTTAAAAAATCATTTTTTAATAATGTCTACTTAAGTTTTAGTTCAAGAAAGTACACTTTCATGTTAATATTTCTAATCCATTAAGTGCATGTTTTAAAAAAATTCCCTTTTTAATTGTGTCTACTTGAGTTTTACATTTTAAATAATTATGATTTTATAGTGTTTTAAAGTTCTTAAAGTTATTAAATGAAATGTATTTTGATGAATTGACAAATATACTAAATAAAATAATAATTTTAATGGAAAACATGGAAAGTAATTCATTTTAATTTCAACTCAAGTGTGTTGTCCAAAAACAATTAGTTCATTTATTTTAAATGTGTTTAATCTAGAATATATCGACTGTGTGCATTAATGCACTTGCAATGTGTTTTTCCAATAAATTTGCAATACAGTATTATCCAGGACAACTTATTGTTGACATTTTTGTCAGTTTTCTACATAATATATGACAATAAAATGTAATTTATGAGAGGAGTCTTAGCATAATTCTAAGACATTTTTGCATTTTAGATGCATACGGGAATTCAAGTTTGTTGAACTCTGACCTACTTTACTGTTAGTTGTTTATGTCTGAAGAAATACTGAATTATCAATGAATAGTGTGAGGCAATGCTTGCATATTAGATGACCTCCATTTTACCTCTAGTGTGACTGAAAATAAAGTGCGGGAAAATTTTGCACAACGTTACAAAACGTCTTTTAAAGAAAAGAAAAAGAAAACTATCCGGATGCTTGTCCTAAAAATGGAGCACTCCCAACTATGGCAGCAATCTCAACTCTAAAATGCTGACCATGTAAGGTGTCTCCTGTGAATCGAACAGAAGGATTTCTGACATAGAAGAAAACTGCCATCAATCATAAAAGGCAGGAAGTACAAAGTAAAATACTGCACTATGTGAGAGCCTGAATCTGAGGATGAATCACTGTGTGTTTGTGCACGCCTGTAAGCGTACGCTCGTCTCTGAAGAGAACCTTTAGCCTCATTCAGCAAGTTTAGATTTGACTTGAGAGTGACTGCCTCTCTTCTCTCCTCGGAGTCTGTTCTTTCAAGGATGAATGGGAACCGAGACAACAGACAGAAAGCCTGGAGAGCTGACACTTGTTGCTGTCGACTCCGTTGGTTGAGCTGGATGGTGCGCATAATTCCTCATGAAAAAGAAATGATTTTAACTCTGTGTCACACAAAGCAGATGCACAGGAGTGTCAAGAGCCTTTGAGGCTGTGAGAACTGACATCTTGCCCTCTTATTGTGACCCTGTTCATTGTTGTAGTAGTAGCCTGCAGCCTTTTCGGCTGCTTGTTGCCTGTGTGTCCATCATACTGTGCAATTACATGAGCTCAACTCCCTTCAGGCTTTTTCCAAGATGCCCATCTCCTTTTTAAAGCCTTATTTGTTTTCTGCATGTTGCACTCCTGCTCAACACCACTTGATTTTATTGCCTTAACAGAATATAAATGTGTCTATGTGAGTGCGAGTCTTTATGATGATCGCTTTCTAAATACACTTTATTGCAAGTGTTTTTCATTCAAGGCCGCACAGAAATTCAGATTGATTATTTCACAACCACTCTCTTCTTTTCTCTTACTGATACCTTTTCATTGGACACTGGTGTGTCCAAATTATGTTATTATGTTTAGTCTCTTCTCTCCTGGTTCAAACACTTACTTGAGTGTAGAGACTCCATCCGGAGTGGTGGGCTTGTTGAAGCGTCTCATGTACTCGTACATCTCAGGAAAGCTCTTTTTCACATAGTCCTCAGCACTGCTTTCTCGAACGGTGCCGAAGCGAAACCCAAGAGACGGGTGATGGAGCTTGAAAAAGCAACGAAAAGTGAACTGACTGTGAAAAAGGTTTGAAATCATAATACTAAAATACAACGTGGTACTATTGTAGTTTTTTTTGACATGTGGATGTACAATTGTAAAAAAAAAAACATCTTTTTGAGGACATTCACCATATTATGATAAAAGTATCAAGATCTCTAATTTTAAGGGATACACATTTAGACATACGACAGCACAGTTTTAGTCAATCAACAAAAAAGATGTGTGTACTGTTCAAATGTTCTGCTAATCAAAATGGTTTCATCAACAATGTTAAGCAGAACAACTGTTTTCAACATTGACAATAATAAGAAATGCTTCTTGCACACACAATCTGCATATTAAAACGATTTCTGAAGGATTATGCGACACTGAAGACTGGAGTAATGATGTTGAAAATTCAGCTTTGCTATCAAACTGATAAATTGTTAAATATGTAAAAAAAAAAAACATTATTAAAAATTGTAGTAATATTTCACAATTCTCTAGTAATTTAAGATGAAATGCAGTGTTTTACCTTGACATCATGAATCCCTGACACCTCCTCAAAGGTCTTCTCCCCCACCATGACAGCCGCCAGGTTGGCCGTGTAACTGGACAAAACCAGCAGGCAAAATATGGCCCAAAGGTTCATGAGGAAGCGGCCCGTCCAGCACTTTGGAGTTTTACTGGCAACGGTCCGGCCGAACAGAATGGCGTAGCAGAGGTTCAGGGCAGATGAGTAAGAGAAGACCCTAATGCGGTTGCGTCCATGCGGGGTCATGCCAAACGGACTGTTCCACTCATATAGGGTGATGAAAAGAGCTGTGATGTGCAGTGCCACAAAGATGCCCACCCACATGGACCAGTGAAGTGGCCACATGAAAGCACCGATGGGTGCAGCTGTGTCCTTGCTGCGCACCAGGATCCCTAGACTGGTGGAGAAGAAGGGGCTGGTGAAGTCGATCACTCGGCTCCGAGCTGAGTTGATGCTAAAGCTGGCGAAGGCCATATCAGCCACGCCACTGAGCAGGTCGCCCACCAGACCAGTCCATCTACCCCCTTTCCACGCCCCGTACTTCCCATCGCCTACGATGTAGAGGTCAAACTCAAAGTGCATGTCCTCGGCTAGCTTCTCCAGCAGATCAATGCAGTATCCATAGCAGCATTTCCGCATGTCGGTTGGCAGTGAACTGCTGTTGGTTTGCTCCAGCTCTCTGAACAGCTGGTTGAGGACTTCAGAGTTGTTGGTTTGAGGGTCAAGGCACAGCTGACCCGCTGGACACTGGCCCTCCTCGTCCACCTCACGTGTGAACACAAACGGGTGCTCGACTAAAGTCACGACCCGCAATCTGCTCCCCGCCACTGGGAGTCCTGCCTGCCAGCGACCGCCGAGCCTAATCCCTGGACCGCCCTCCCGGTGGTGCTGGGTCATGCCTGGCCACAGGCTCTGCTCCTCTATATCCAGACGGCCCGACTGCCAGCTTGCCACGGTCACCCAACTTGGCTGGCCTAGAGGGTCCCGCTGTAGGCTCCATATGTGAAAGCGCTGGGAGGTGAGGATCCTGGAGAGCGAGCGCTGTACTCGCACCGGGCCTGTCAGCCCCATGAACGAAGTGTTCGACAAGAACCTGAGCACAGCAGGGACATGAGAATTGTGAGGGGAATATAAACACATCCAGGAAAAGCAAAGACAGTGGAGAGATGGCAGAGCAACTGTGTTTTGCTGAATCTCTAGCTAACCGAATCCTAGTAGTGAAAACTAGTCAAATGAATAAATATACCGTACAGAAGTGATACTACATAAGAAATATATATATATTTTTTTTTTTTGCTATTTTATGCCTTGTTATATAATAGCATTGATTGATATTCATTGATTTAAGTACTACCAGCATTGTTGTCTGGATTACACTTACATTTTAAGGGATTTTTACCTTTGATAATTAACCCTATAAGCCTCCTGTATAGTATTTAATGAGCAAAAAGGCCTCTAGATTATGAACAAAATCAAAACTTTGATGGAAAACCTGTTGTACACAATCTACCACATGGCTTCGGTCATCTGATTGTATACTTTTTGTACTTTTTAGCAAGTAAAACTAAACTTGCTAGTAATATTTCAAGATGAATACTTATACTGAAGCAACTTAAGTTTAATTGAATATTAAACCATCTTTTTTATTTAGAAAAATCGTTTGTATCATCGTATAAATGTCATTGTATAAATGTTATATATATTTTAGCAGCCTGCCATTTTGTAAGAAATATCTCATTGATTTATTCAATAAATTAAAATTTTATCTTACTTTTGGGGCATTTACATATCAGCAAATGCACCAAATTAAATATTTTTGCTGAGTTTGGGCCTCTGAATAAAATGTTTTTTTTTCTTCTCCTCAAGCATGAGCTCCATATACACCTATACAAGCAATAAAACATGATAGCCAACAAAAAGCACATTTGCATTTTTTTTTCCCAATTTCTTAATTTTTATTTTGTAATGTTCAGTTCAATAAACTGATCCATTAAAGGTTTTTCTGACTATTAAAATGGAGATTTTTTTTCAAAGGTGATGAGATGAACACTGAAGGTGATGAGTTCAGTGTTCATCACCTTTTTCAAAGGTGATGAACACTGACAATATTTTACTCATAATGGATCTAAACCCAGTAAATATGGACATACATTATGATATGTCCATATTTACAGGGTTTAGATCCACTATAAGTAAAATATTGTCAGTGTTCCAAACTCATCACCTTTGACAAAATTCTCCATTTTGAAAACACAAGACCACCTAAGTGCTTAAATGTCAGCCTTGTGTGAAAATGCCATTTGCTCAGTCGATCGCGTGTTTGAAACAGCAATGTGAGCTGCACAGGAACTCAGCGCCCAGGGAATCTCACTGTCGCTGCATGCTTTGGTGAGAACAGCCTTGTGAGAACAGATAAGGTGCAGTTTACCATTTCTGTCCACAAAGTCCATTCATTCCTTTATATAAGCGACAGAATACATAGAATCAATGAAGCAACTGTGTGAGCATCAATAAATAACGATCTTCCCTAATTAAAAAAAATTATAAATTAAAAAATTAAAAATATAGATAATTTAGACGCATGTTAATTCTTACAGTGAAAACGTAAGACAATTTTGGAATAATATTTAGATTACATTTATTATCAGCCTATTGTACTTTAAGGGTTAGATGACTTTATTCCCTAAAGAACACTAAAGTAGATTAAAATGTCCCTATGAAAATGTCCATACAATGATGATCACATTCTGTCATTACAGTATGTGTGTGTGTTAAATAAGGATTTGAACCAAGGTCTCCTTGAATACTTAACACAAATTACACCTGATGATCATGTCTAACTGTCATAGAAAAAAGTGCCACAGCTGTCACAAAGTGCGCTGAAAAAAAATTAGCTGCATGGTGCGTCTGCCAAGATTTAAATAATTATTCCTTATTCAAGAGCAACTGATTGGCACAATGATTATCCTTTTAAATTACATTCCAAAATGTTTAATCTTTAATTCTCAAACAATATGTTTCAGAGCATGCAGGAGGAGAAAAGAATAAGAACAGACGGAAATATAGATCACTCATGAAGCCCACTGAAGTTCAAGGCTTTATTCAAAAACAAAAGGACAGGAGGAACCCGAATCAATCACAGTAGTAGTATGATTCACTTTCTGTCAAAATGATTGATGACCCTATAATTAATGATGACTGATGGGTTGACCTTTTGACCTAGCCCCTCCCCGTGTCCTTGGGTTGACCTTGCCCTATCGGTAACCTTGTTGCATTTGACCTAGTGTGTGACTGGATAATAGGAAGGATAAATATCTCTGGCTTTGCGGGTATAAGGGAATCATTGATATAATGGTTTTATGTTTGACCTTTGACACAAAGCTGCACCGGATCTCCGCAGAACAAGTAAGAAAGGATGGCTGGGGACAGTGAAAGTTGAAAAACATTCTGTTTTTAAAAGTTTAAAGAACTAGCCTACCTCAACTAGCCAACCTTTTCGCTCAGAGAGCCGTCTAACTGAAACCATCTGAAGCGGCCAGGGAGGTCAGTCAGGGGCGCTTGAAAAGCTGCACTGCACGGTACTTCATAATGCAATCCTCGTAGCCAAAAAGCATAAAAATTTTATTTAAAGGGAAACGTGATCGGCAAATTCAAAACTATAGGGTAAATATCGGGATAGCTTTTCCCAGGTGGATAGAGCTAATGAAGGAAAAAGACTTTGAAAGGGACGCTGAAGTTGCCCGCTTTCTTCTCGACAGGTAAGTCAATGTTATGGTCTAAATTTCAAGCTTTTTCATTCCGTGGTTGTGTAATTCATCATTATGTAGGCAGCATAACGGTAGAACATGTATGATTAAACTCGATGAAGTGCTATTGGAAGACATGTCGTAGCTTCTTGGCAGTTGGCACATAACAGTTACCGTAGTTGCAACGCGCATTTGTCATGATAGATTTAGACGGAAGCAAGTGCAAGTTAAACTATTTATTAATTGATAACACAGATAGGCTGTCCAGTGCAGCGGTGAGGGGAAGTATTTCCAATGACGAACAGATATCCAGATAAATCCACAGAACAAGAACCGGAACAGGACAGCCCGTTCTCATCCTTTAGCGCCACATAGAACGCTATGACAAAACGGCGCTATACTACGCACATGGCACCCTTTATCGTTAATATAACACGCAAACCCAAGTCGTCATAAATCCTTTAGCGTAATATGAGACTACCCTACCCCACACCTAAACCTACCCATCACAGCGCGTGTTATATTTGCGATAACAGGTGCCATGTGCGTAGTATAGCGCCGTTTTGTCATATAGCGTTCTATATGACGCTAAAGGATGTGAATGCGTTGAACAGGAAAAGCACAAGACTTGAACGACACTGGAACACACACCGGAGAAACCACAAACAACGATCTGACAAAAGAGATGAAAAGTTGATGAGAATATATACACATGAACAGATAAGCTGCAGCTGGTGATGGGGTAATGGGTGTATGGCTGATGAGCGGCCACGCCCCTCTAATCAGCGCACACACATACAACAACAGAAACACGAGACAAGAACAAGACATAGGATTTACCAACCGTGACAGCATTTGAAAAAGCGAGGCGCTAGAGAGCGCTCTTCGTTTGAATGCAAAACAAACAATTAGATGGGAGAAATTCCTAGACAGCGTACCTTTAAGGACTAACTTGTAGGTTCTTTAACAAATAGCCTCCAAAATGGAGCAGGACAAAGGGCATGTTTCCTGTTATTTATTATCAGCTCTCCCCCCAAAGTCTGTTCATGCGGCCAACAGACAGACTGTCGCATCAACAAATGCTAACATTTTAAAATTCGACATATATTTTAAGTATAGATAACCGATAGTATATTCTCAGTGAAGGGTTTCACCCTGTGAGTTTCCACAATTAATAAGGATAGTTTGGGGGTACAAGAAAAGTAAAAAATCTCATACGTACAATAGATCATACCGTAGAAAAAGTAAGATCATGTTTTGAATTCGCTCAAGACAAACTTTAATTATTCAGCGTCATGGACCACAGAGGCACATTGCGTCTCTGAAAATGTGTGTTGATTTTCTAAATGATACAACTTAATTTAAATAAGAGCAATGTAGAGTCCTGGGATTTCTTTTTAAAAAAACAACAACAATAAAAACTTTGACAAAAATACAGTTTGAAATAAGATCTAAGACTAAAAAAGGACAGTTCTTGGTTTATAACATTTTTTATTCTATTTTTGAACAAACGCTGTTTAGTAAAAATAATACATTAGCTTAAATTCATGCAAATCATTTATATCACACAGTAGTAGAAGCTTAACAGACGATACAATTTTAATAAAACGATGGAAAGATTTGATTTAAACAGTCTTTTAATTCAAAAAGATCTAATTTAAACTTTTAAGATTAGGCTTTTGAATGAATTTACTATGAATCAAACTCTGGAAAATTATATATATATATATATATATATACATTTTAGTAACATATTTGTTATTATTTTTTGGGTTATATACTTTATTTATAAAATACAGAAATCCCCTCTTATCTGTTCTGCGGAGATCCGGTGCAGCTTTGTGTCAAAGTTCAAACACAAAACCTTCCATTATATCAATGATTCCCTTATACCCCCAAAGCAGAGATTTATCTTTCCTATTATCCAGTCACACACTAGGTCAAGTGCAACAAGGTCACCACTAGGGCAAGGTCACCGCTAGAGCAAGGTCAACCCAAGGACACGGGGAGGGGCTAGGTCAAAAGGTCAACCCATCAATCATCATAGGGTCATCAATCATTTTGATGACAGGTGAATCATTCTACTACTAATCACACAACATTTATTGAACCAATATATGACCTTTTACAGACAAGAGAGTATTAAACAAACAAGTATGTAAATAGAGCATGGTTTATAGGTGAATTACCCTTCATGCAGCTCTGGATATTATACTCTTGTGATGTTCTACATAGATCTGCTTTTATGGCTGAATATACGCCATGAATTAGTTGATCGATTTTCAACAATACATCAGCTGGGGGTGTAGAGTAGTCAAAGGTTTGTGTCTGGGTCACAGAGGGAAGA